GATATGACGAAATGAAAAACGCGCAATAGAAGTGGACTGTTTTTTTTTTTGGTATAATGGGGTGATCTGAGGAAATGATATCGAGTAATGGAAGTGCTTCTGGAGGGCCAAACAGGTCGTGAAGGCAGCAGTGGATGAAAAACCTGCAGAAATTGGAACGACGAGATAAATTAGCAGACCGCTGAAAGGAAGAAAAGGAGCACAGCCAAAAATACAGATTTCTTTTCATTCTTCTTTTGTGCCGACAGAAGTATATCTAGAGGAAAATAGAGCAAAACTATCAAGTGAAAACGTCAGAGCTACGATCTAGAAGCTTACACGGATGATGGAGCTTGGAAGCAGACTTGTCAGAGCACAACGTGTCGAGGAAGGCAGATGCAAAGTTGCCGGAGATGCAGGTTCGAGCTAGTGTTTTGCTATTGCAAACGAGACGCAGAAGTCTTCAAAGAGCAGGTCAGCAAGGTAACCCCAGCTCTGATCCTGTATAATTAAGTTGAGCTGAGTTGGAGTCTCTCAAAAACTAAACTGTAACACTCTTGATAACTCATTATAAGATATATTTTTTCCCATCTTTTGTGCGGACAGTAGTATTTCTAGATGCAAAACTAACAAGTGAAAATATCGCCTAGATACTTCTGCAAAGAATCAATAAAAGGCTTCCTTCTCCAAAAAGAAAAAAACATGTGAAAACATCAAAGGGATGGTCTTGAAGCTTACACGGATGATCGACCTCAGAAGCAGAGTTGGATGATCGACCTTTGAAGCAGAGTTATTGGAGTGGCGCAGCGAGGAAGGCGGATGCAAGGTTGCCGGGGATGCTATTGCAAATGAATGAGGGCGGGTGCAAGGTTCGCAGAGATGCTATTGCAAATGTGCCGCAGAAGTCTCCAAAAGCAGCAGGTCAGGAAGATAACCCCAGATCTAATCCGGTATAATTAAGTTTCGCTGAGTTGGACTCTCTGGAAAACTAAACTGTAACCACTCTTCGATAGCTCATTAATCAATAAAACATGTGCAAGTAGGCTTATTAATCTATGAATTATGTGTAAGTAGCCTAGGCTGTACCGCCAAAATATATACAACTGACAGCCCGTTCATGTTATAGAATTACTCGCCAACAAACATGCTGACATAGATAGCTCTCAGCACTCAGTGAATAGAAGAAACAACCCTGTTTGTGTTAGCCGCAGAGGCTTCACCAGTTAGAATCTCTTGCGCTTGCGAAGTACTCCCTCCGTAAACTAATATAAGAGCGTTTAGAATATTAAAATAGTGATCTAAACGCTCTTATATTAGTTTACAGAGGGAGTACCATGTAGCCTCAGAGAAACTACCCTCTCATTGTGATAGGCCCGCTGTTAGCACGTCAAAATCAAAGAAAGTTCAGTGAAATGGTGGGTTAGGTAAGGTTACCTGCTTCTCCAATTTTATTCTCCAGCACTGGCCTTTCGCACTTTCCGTGTGCCTTCATTTCGGTTCCAAAAGCTACGAGCAAGAATAATATTCCCTCCGTAAACTAATATAAGAGCATTTAGATCACTAAAGTAGTGATCTAAACACTCTTATATTAGTTTACAGAGGGAGTATATGACTCCAATGACAATGAGGGTGCGTCGCCACCTCCTGAGCGAAGAACTTGGAAGGCCACCAGACTCCTGGTCACCTGGATGCTTTGGAAATAGAGGAATGGGAAGATCTTTAATAACACAGGAACAAGATGCAGCTCTGCCCAAGTTCTCAGCACAATAGTGGACGCGGTGAGATGCTGGAGGGACGCTGGGCTCGCACCAATGAACAAGTTCTTCGAGCCACCCTAGTTACAGAGCAAACTGTAACACGCCATGAGAATCACAACAGAACGAACGGTCACATGGCCAATACAATACAGGGTAATATTACTTTACTGTTTCAAATTAACAACGGTGTACATCCATCCCAGTATTAACAGCAGAAGCAATACATGTTTGGCAATCCACAGTCACCAAACGACCAAACCATTCACCCTCCATTACAAAAAACGACAGCCTAATCTACAATGGCGGAGCAGATGGTGAAGACAGCAATGATCTTGTGCTAGAACATTCAGTTTGCAATGCTCCAATCCACCAGGAATCAAAATCGATCATGATGAACCACCGAATACCTGCAAGTGCGACGAAAGCAGGTCAAATGACTAGCTAGCTAAGATAAAAAGCACCACCAGATAAACTGCCAGAGGGCTGCACACTACTTACTCCGGCCAGAATATTCTTTGAGAGCTTTGCCTTTTTATTAGGGCCTCTATCCTCAACTGCTCTATTCTGTCGAGGAATTGGACAATCGTTATTCGTCTCACCAACATCATTGGATTCTTTTCCTTCAGTCTTTTGCTTCTGTTTCAAGGATGTCACCAACGTATATAGAGATTTTAGTAATGAAACTTGCAGTGAACGGCAAAATGAGGGAGAAAATATCCAGTGTTCGGGCTAGCTTGTAACTGAAATGTTTTATCTGGTGATCTCTACTCTTATAAAAACCACAATTGGTGATGATGGTGTGCCTGCCAACTTTGATTCACAATCGTTCGATTCATATCCAACGTCCAGGAAGCAACCCATGGCAATTTTACAAAGACACCCACTATTCTGTTACATATTTGCAAATATGCCCTTGTCTCTCTCTTCAAGCCTATCCCCCGGCTCTCCCCCAACCTCATCCAACCAGTAGCACCGGCAGCGTCGGAGCCGATATGGCGTGGTGGCCGCCGGCGGTGCCGTCCGCCTCGGAGCCTCTCATGCCTCCCTCAACTCCACCGGCCACCACAACCCCTCCCCCCCCACCGCCCCCCTTCTCCATCTCCTCCGTTGCCGACCTCTGCAGGCACACCGGCGGCGCCGTCCCTCCGCAGGCGCCTCTCCCGCCTCCTT